AAAATGTCGCAGCTTGAATATCGAAGAACCAAGACAAGAGCGTACCCACAAACTTCCTAGGAGGATCGACGATAATCCTGACACAGCAGTCCATCTTACGTCGGAAGACAAGTTTAGAATTTCCTTTTACTATAATGTAGGTTATATGAATAATGAATTGTTCTGGAAACATGCATTCCAATCGCTTATAAAAATATTTACAGCTATGTATTTTTCGAAATCTAGGTACTTGATCTTATGGTTAGCTCCATTGAAAATAACGCACCAGTTTTGATGGGTCTCGGATACTTAAATCCTTCTCGAATAGGCAATCCAGAAGCTTGGAAACATATTTCTGTCGCGGCCCAATGGTTCCAATGCGATCTTGATGTTGATGAAGTAGAGAGCGAAATATTTTCCCTACAGACATCGTCGCTGCTTGCTAACATCCTCGAGAAGGCAAAATTAGAGAAGAGAAAAGCCAGTTTCGACGACCTGTTCAAAGCATTGCAAGCTGAACCCAAATGCTATGGAAATTTAACAAAGCTGATGAAAATTGCTTTGACACTGCCCCTCACATCAACAAGTGCCGAAAGGACATTTTCGAAGCTAAAGTTGATAAAGTCTCGACTTAGGACAACCATGCAGCAGGAAAGACTGAATAGTCTGATGTCCATCGAAGACGACTTGTTGGAGCAACTTGATGTGGACAATCTTGTCCAATTGTTCGTAGACATGGCCCCAAGAAGAATGGGTTTAGTTTAGATTTTTAAATTAAACATTTACTCTCAACTATTGCTCTATTCTTTCAAATATTTAAATTTACACTTTATCAGACTCTGAGTCCCCATTTCTTTTAAAAAGCATTGTAGAAACGAACAGTGTCTCACTGTCGAATAAAAGAACTTCGCATTATTTGAACTCAAAGTAAGCCTTTTTACACACTTCTCTAGGGATAAAGGGGTCATAAAGTGAAAAGAATAACCCAACTTCAGTTCTGCATTATAGATGGCTTTGACAATTTATTACATTTGGGAGAAAAGAAGATTGGTACATTTGTGAAATCAAGGAAAATCATGTCTTTTATGCAATATATAATCCTCAGAATGCCAACTTTATTCTGCAAAATCTCACCCGGAAAATGCAGGAAATCGCGTTTGCGGGAGTCTAGATTTCAAAATTTTCCGGGGGGGATGCCCCCGGACCCCCCTAGAAGGGCTCACGCCTTCGGCGTTCGGATCTCGCCCCCCCCAAAACTTTGACTCTGGCTACGCCACTAACAAAAGCCACGGCGGCCATGTTGGTGTTCCAGACAAAAGAGTCTAATTCAAATTCTTTTGATCGAATAGACCCTTCCGGTAATTACGTCACAACTACACTATTTTCAACTTAGGACCACCTTAAATGGAATAGATTTCAAGATTGTTTCTCGCGGGTTGTGGTCAGAAAAACAGGTCGACTGATCCTTCGTCAACACATGCATAAAAAAAATCTTGGATTTTGACTATTAAATGTGGAAATAAGTTTGGCATCTCTTGGCCTCTCAGCCTCCTTTTCGAGTTTAAGTTTAAGCTTATTTCCACATTTATTGGTCAAAATCCAAAATTCTTTTTTATACATGTGTTGAAGAAGGATGTTCTGCTCCTCTGAAAATAGCCCGTGAGAAACAAACTTAAAATCCATTCCATTTAAGGTGGTCTTAAGTTGAAAAGAGTGTTAGTCGTGACGTATTTATTGGAAAAGTCTATTGGAACACCAAAATGACGGCTGTGACGTCATGTGGAAACGCTCTATTATATAGATTATGCTGACTCGGTCCAACAGGCATTGAATTGTGATTAACATAATAGGTTATGAACTTTTCGTATATAATTTTTGGTAGATGATTACTTAAAAATCAGCCTGCAGATTTTACTTAAAAATTGTGCAATTCACCTTAAAACTCAGATGCAGCGCTTATTTGAGGGCGGCACTTTTTTCGAGGACGGCGCTTCTTGTAAAATATTTTATCTGTAAGCGATACGAAACAATTTTTGGAAAAGGGGAAAGGGGAAATGGGTTATGCTAAAATGTGGAATGTTTTTAGCATCAGAGAATCCCAAATTTCAGGATTCATTGAAAAAAATATCTGCAGACTGTTAATTCCATTTCCTTTTGGAACATGATATCCTCCAACTGTAATGTCTTTTGCTAGCACTCTAGAAGGGGTGCTACAGGGTATTTTCTCAAACCTTCCTCCAAAACTTGACCAAGATACTTCAGTTTTGCCAAATCATCAAATTCCACATAATCATGCCCGCCAAGCATTTCTTTAATCTCGTTTAAAAATTTTGCTTCAACATGGGATTTCGAATGACTTCATACAAGGTAAATGACAATTAATTTGCAGTTGTCTCTTGTCCAGCAAGGACTGATATGATCACAAACTCATCAATAATGTCATCCAATGTCAAACTGCCATCTTTAATCAAGAGACTCGATAAGTCATCAGGGACGGCTGCAATGTCCTTCATCCGAGTGGTGGTACAATCAGAGGCAAATTTCTTGAGAAATCGTGCTGCATCAATTTGTTCTCTTTTGATAGCATTCTGAAACAACGTGAACTGGAAATTCCAAGGAGGGCGGGGTGGAATGGAATATCAATGTTGTCCTGCACGCCGCACAGATAGTGCCGTATTGCTCCTGGAAATGGGGAATTGGGATCCTCAATACCGTGGGTATTGATATTAAAAGACAAAGTGACATTTGTAAATTCCTGGACCATACTGGTTGGCTTACCAGCATCAACAACTGCAGCCATGCGAGTCATAAATATGTCACAAACATTATTAAAATTACCCATGAAATCTTTCAGGCACTTACGATGAAAAGCCGGGTTCATAAGTTGCCGTCGTTTGCGCCACGATACTTCATTTGTATTCATTACCAGTCCAAAACCAGCTCCCTTCTCACCATAAACAAAACCAAATTCAGGATAGAAAAACTTTTAAACAGGCGCCGGCCGGCTGGCATGATTATTTGTGTAAACATGTCGCAAATAGGTAGCGTTTCCCAGAAATACAATAGGCTTGTGAATAAAAAATAATATAAATATTGTCCTGTATTCCAGTCGTTTTTCCAGTTGAAACTCGCTCGTCCTACCAGTTTCAGCTTTGTATTTCCAAATCTCTGGGAGATGACCCAATATGAAACTCGAACGAGGTAGTCCTGGTAAATGATCGTTGATTTTGTGGACATAATACAAACATGCCACAAAAAAGAACACGGCCAAAACATCCAAGCAAAATTGTGGCGAGGATGTATAGAATTAAACATAGAACTGTGACAGCCAGGGCCTTTCAGAAGGGGAGAAAAGGGGACAATTTGCCCCAGGTCCCCAGTTTTAAGGGGCTCCAAAATTTGCAAAATTAAAAAAAATAATTTGGAACGTTTTTTGATATGAAGAATGGTATGAGAAAAATTTCTAGACCTAAATTTCACAGATGAGGCCCATCAAGGGGTTATGACCGACAGGCGACATTCCCAATTAAAAAGAGGCGACAGACTATCGAAAAAAGAGCGACAAACGACAGCTTCTGACTGGAAAAAAAGCGACAAATTGCGATTTGTGTTATAGGTCAAAAGTGATAGCGACATTTATTACAATAAAACAAGCGACAAAGCGGCTACAAAATGAGTGACAAGCGACCTGGGTTACACCCTTGGTGAGCCTCACAGATATTGGTCCGAAAAAATAGATTTTACCCATGTTTTAACAGGAATTTTTTCCGGAAAAATTTTTTTGAACCTTAATTTAACTGGTCTATGTGCGAAAAAATTTTTCGACTCTTTTTTTAATGTCCGGAAAAATTTGATCGCTAGTCGTGAAGTGAATTCGTCTGAATAGTTAAATTCGTCGTTTGAAACGAAAATTTAATAACGAATTAAATTCTGCATCTGAATCAAATTCGACGTATGAAAACAGACTTCATCTCTTCACACACAGTATAGATGACCCCCACTGACGAATTCTTTAAAAAAAGGCCCTGCTACCGGAGTACTTCAATTTTTCAAGGATTCAATTAGCTTAGCCAATCGACGATGAAAAACTGTCAAATGCAGGCATTGAGAAACATGAAAGTTTATAATTGAGCCGTAGAAATGAAATTGAAAATGAGATAGACGGCTTGAGGGTCAACAACGTATTCATATTTTATACCACTGAGAAAATGATTTTTCCAAAACTTATATTTACAATAATTCCACAAGTTCAAATTTTTTCTGAGTTATATGTCACTATGCATCTTGAATTCGAACTGTTCACCAATAATAGATAGCTTGCGACCTTTCTCTTGTCGCTGAAATTCAGTAAGATCACCGACCATGGAGAGTTTTCGGCCTTTCTCTGCGCGGTTAAACTCACCCAAGTCTACAGATCTATATAAAGAGAATATCATTGTTAAATTGATTTACTTTTACTGTTTGATTTCATGTAACGTAAAAGCTATAAAAGCTATCGCAATGAAATAAATATCATTGCATTCAGAAAGGACTATAACTTGCTATAACTTAGATTCTGATATACAGTACAGGGTGTCCCCAAAAAACCGAAAACCATTGAAATCACTTATTGTTAAAATTGAATGCCCTACCAAAAAGCTGAACGTAATGATGCGTAAAATATTGACAAGGTGCATGTATTAAAATTTAGTTAAGAACATCTCCTTGTAAAGTGCGCGATTTTTTGCTCTTGGGAATTTAAAGCAGCTTCTTAAATAGTCTCCTTATATGCATAAAATTTACTTATGTCAATCATTTATGCACTCGTGGGAACCAACAGAGTGCTTAGGCATTCAAATTCTAACAACTAAATTGTTATTGGTGATTTCAATAGTTTTCGGGTTTTTTGGGACACCTGTATAGGCCTATGAGCACTTGAATTTACATCCAATATTGACTGCGCTATTGTCTATTGATGTTTGAACGTTGAACTACTGTTTTTGAAAATGCCAAAAACTAGCATAAAACAACCTTATAATTACCGATGTAGTTATACTTGTTAAATAATAAGTAATTTTATTTTGGTTGTATCTCGCTCAATATTGCATGTAAATTCAAGTGTTCTATATCAAAATCTAAGTTAGTCCTTTCTGAATGCAATGATCTTGATTTCATTGCGATAGCTTTTCTATACGTTACATGAAATCAAACAGTGTCCAGTTTTTGGGGGGACACTCGGTAGAAGTGCAAGAAAAATATACTGGAATAGAAAAGTGGAAGGTGCGGAATGGAAAACTAGAAGCACAGAAGAGAAAAATGGTATAAAATGAATGACCTGGAAGATATTAGTTAGTCGTGATGAATGAGTGTGAGCTAGGTAAGTCAGGAGTGATGCATTAGCAGTTAGGTGGAGGTAAGTCTTGTGTAGGTATGATTTAAAGGTGGGGAAAGTGTCGCAGCAGTTGGAAGGAACAGATTTACATAAATAGTTCCACAATTTACAATCCTAACGAAGTAAGAACTGTGAAGAATTCGAACTTTACATGATCGGAAGTTAAGCTACTAAAGCTTGGTTCATATATAATTAATTAGCGTGCGATGAATCTGTTTATGTACCGAAGTTTGGTTTTCTTTCTTAGCCAAGTATGTGGAACTCTTGCTATACTTACATTATTTACATATGACCTTTCCAAGGCTAATTAAGGTATTCGAAACCGTAGTTAAGTATAGGGACTAGGTAGCTACGATCTTGGACATAACCCTTGACTAGTCCGTTCCAGCCAATATTGCAAAGTTAATGCACATTGACAAAACAAACATTGTCAGCCCCTCTTCCCAGTTTAATGCTGTAAACAACGCCTAAACAACTTTTGCTAATGAAACAGTAGACGGATGGATCTAAGGAATGTTGGACTGCATGGACGGTATAAGTGTTCAGTTGTATTTGCAAGTGTGCTCTGAACCTCCTGAGTACTGATTTGTCCCAGCACGCGACAATAATGATTGGAGTACCAGACAAGTACGACAAAAAATTGTAACTTATCCCATCCTGCAATAATATATTACAACACGTGCTATTACATGAACACGAGCCGAATGTGCGTGCATGTGTGCGCAGGAAAATCGGTTAAAGATAAGATAGGCCAGTCAGTAATAAAAGGGACTTATACTTTCTCCTATTTTCATCCGCTGTTGAACATCCAGGACTACCGCGATTCCGTATGTCACTGAGAACACTTTGTCGTGCCTTGAGAAACTGGACCAGCTTTGCATTTTGTTTCAGATTTTCATTCTACAGAAAAACAACAAGGAAAGTATCAATCTCGTACCAGGCTCTTTCCTCGAGAAGCGTAGAGTTGGGAAATTCATTGTTGGAAAAGAGCTAGAAGGTAAGGTGGTGATCATTACAAGTGCGTGTGTTACCTTCGTATTCGCATTTTACCCTTATTTATACATTTTACCATCCTATCCGCATTTTACCCTCATATCAGTATTTCCGCCATCCGTCCGTCCGCATCCGCGGTTTATCCACGCACACGGGACGCCACACACGGGACGCCACACACGGGACGCAAGAACAGGAAGAATTGGAGATACAGAAGATTCGAGATTTTGAATAGTTTTGAGAATTTAGCGACACATTTGTGTTCTGTCTCAGTTCTGGAAAGTGTCATCGCGGAATTTATAAGTAATCAAATCAAATAAAGTTTATTTCACCAGGGTAGTCTTGTCAGTTCAGAAGAACTGGTATCAATGTGAGTCCTAAAAAATGTTGGCTGTATTGTAAAATAATTACTCGGGAACGGAATTCGCTAAGAACCCCCGAATAACATGGCCTGACTACGTTCACACCGACACCGGAATAATGCCGGCAGATCTAGAATTTATACATGTGTTCATACTGCGCTGTTACAGTTTTTTTTACAAATTTAATTAGCACTCATGTAAATCCAAAATATTTCAAATAAGGCAAAGAAATTTAAACGAAAAGCATTTCAATTTACTGTATTGAGATCTGAGATGCTTGGTTTGTAAGCGGTACAAAAAAGTAACGGCGTTTGTGTTCACACGAAGCCGCCAATTAAGGCTCCATTTTCATCTCTGTGACTTTTATGCGCCATAAGTAACTCCGTTGTAACTTAGATAACTCCGTTGTAACTTAGATAACTCCGTTGTAACTTAAGTAACTCCGTTGTAACTTCGTTGTAACACCGTTAGTAATATAACTTTGTGACGTTTTTGCGCCCTAAGTAACTCCGTTGCAAGTAACAACTGTGTAACGATAGCTTCGTTTTGAAAAGAGGTAACTGCAACTATTAGACAGATTTAGATCGAGGACGTGGACGTCAAAGACGACGTGAAAATGACGTGTTGTGCCCATGTATGGATATGCCACGCCATATTGACGCCATTTTCACGTCGTCTTTGACGTTCGCGTCCTCGATCTAAATCTGTCTAATTACCGAGGATAACGCGTTACCTTTCTAACAAACGATTACGTTTTTTCGTTACATTTTAATTGTTAAAATATGGTACTTTCTAATTCGTTTATCCTTTAAACTATATTATTGTGTTTAATGCGGCCGTGGATAAACTGATTCACTGTACATATATACAATAAGGCCCTATCATTTACTGGCTTGCAGTTGGATTAGCCTATTCTTTATAGTGATTTACTCCAATTCACTGTCAATGTAGTTATTAATAGTAAAACCTGCAAATGTAACTTTAAAGAACAAATTGAAGCAAGAGCGGATTTTCATATTTTTCTCTGGGGGGTGCAAAAATTTCAGGGTGGGGTGGGGTGGTGATGATCATGTGCCGGGGCGGATCCAGGGTTTTTGATTACTGGTTTACTAGGTTCACCCAACTAATAGGGGGGGGGGCGGGGGCATGCCTCCCCCAGGAAAAAATTTAAAATTTGGGCTCTGAAACAACATTCCCTGCGTTCTGGCGTCACTTTTGAAATTAATTTTATGATTAGAAAATGCATGCTTTTAAGTTAATTTTTGACTAATACGCAGCTGAAACAATGAGTTGAACCTTTTTCGAAGCGTATTAGCTAGTGCCTAGTGATAAAAATATGCTATCCGCTAATTGCGGACACATCGATTTAGATCTACACGTTTTCAATCCAACTCTAACGACGAACTAAAAACCAAACTGCAAGAGCGTCCGATCTTTCGCAATCATTTCTTCACTCTCAATCGCCAAAGCAATGATCAGTGGGTCTAAATACGCTCGGTAGTCCATAATCAAATTTCAATAATAGATTAGACAACATCAGTTTTATGCAACAGAATATTCTTTAAATTAGTTATATACATGGAAGGTTATAGATCAGTTCTTTCTTTGGAAAATCTGACAGGTTTATGTAAACCTGTCAAACCTGTCTGAATCCAATGTGAAAACGCGTGGTGCCGATGAGCACGTGAACTTATTTTTTGTAAGTGTGTTTTACTTTTACGTTAATTTGCTGAAAAAAAGCGTATATAGAAACATGTTAATTTTAATATTTCTATCTTACTTGACGGTAGATTAATTTAGTACATTTAAATTTTGGCAGGGACAGGGGGGTGCACATTTTTGTTGGAGTGTTGCACAATTTCTCCGGGGGGAGGGGAGGGAAAAAAATTTTGGGGGTGCGCACCCCCTCCCCCCCTCGCACCCCCCAGAAAATCCGTCCTTGAATTGAAGGTAACTTTTTAACTAGTTATAAAAAACATTATTTTTTATGGGTAACTGGTAACTTTTATGATTACTGGTAACTAATTCCACATCATATGAAACAGTAAAACTGAAACTCAGCCTTAAATGCCTTATTTTGAGATTTCCTCTACAATGCCCAACTGAACTCCACAAGAAGGAACAGCATGGGAACGAGATCGGAACATTACCCACCTGCAGATGGCCACAGGTGTCCAATAACTGTTTCTGGACATTCAACAACAACTCGACAGTTTCCTGTCGCTCAACGTCCTCATCTCGTTTTTTATCCTCCTTTATACGTCGAGCGCGTTCCGCATTTGCCTCGCGATCTGCGATCTTACTAGAAGCTGTACGAATTAACTCTTCTTGCATCCGCGCTTTGTTTTCTTTAGTCTGGTCCATCTTCATAACTTTTTCCACGTCTTTATCTCTCTGTGGGGAAAAAATTAAAAACAAACCTCACTATGGTCCTACACTACTCCGCAGCGGGCTGTATACCGGAGTGTATACATTTTTTCGTATCGCCAGTGATGGCGAAAGGACGTGCTTCTGTGAGCTTTGCGAAAGTATTTCTTCTGATGAAGCAGAAATAGAAGATGCCATGCAGTTATTGGAACACCTAACATACGATAGTATACCATCGAGATTTAGATGGTTGAAAAGTTTTGATACTAAAAAAATTTGTTTAAACTGTATTGTCTATTAGTCAACGTGGCCGCACAGGAATAACTTGGTATTGTTAAAAGATTTCAACTTTAACTTTTCAGGGAAATGACGGTATGTTAGTGAACAATAGGTTACTGAAAATTGAAGACCAACAGTGCTAACAAGAATCGCAATGATCGCCCACCATGCTCTACAATTGATGTTCAAACTGATGAAATTTTCCCAACGGTTACAAGTAAAACTTCGGTCGCTGGGGGTGGGGGTGGGGCGTGTATATTCATATATTCATGTTCACATACCGTAAAAACAATCGCTTTCAAACGAAATCCGTCGGGCAGAACCCGAATATATGAATATGCACCTCCCCCCCCCCCAATTATCGCGTGTAGTTACCGCCCTGGACGCAGCACATAAAATACGATCGACGTTGTTTGAATTAGTATATGACGGATTCCTAACACTACTATAATACAAGAAGTTGTGGTAGTCAAAACAACTAGATTATAGCTCGATCTAGCTCAGTCAAAGCGCTGAACCGGAATCATAGGTTCGATTCCAGCCCGAGGGCTTATAGTTGCATTTTTCGCAGATGTTTCCGGTTAGGTCTATAAATTTTCGTTCAAAAATATCCAGCTACAAATATCCCATGTGCAGAATAATTTCAGTTCCGTTCATTATTATCAGTGATAATAGACAAGAGGTTATAACGACCAAAACTAACCTTCAGTTTTGAAAATAACCCCAACAACTGTTCTTGAACATTGACCAAGAGATCGCGTGAGTTATCGCTCATCATACCGCGCATGCGCTCGTCATACTCTGCAATCCTCTGCTGTTGTTCTTTACTGGACATCTCTTTCACGGAGGAAACTGCGGAATGGCGACGGATGGTCTGCAAGAGTTGTTCTTTGCTGTCTTCACTTTTCTTCTTTGTAGCGACACTCTTGTTTTCTTTGCTTTTCTGTAAAACATGGAAACTTGTCAATACCAGGGAGCACTCGAATACTGCTGCCTCCATCAACGAATCAGTAGTATGTGCCGGCAATACAAGACAAACTTTTGCTTTTGTGCTAATTTCTCATCTCTCTGGTGCCTGCCAAGCAGGCTTCATCAAACTTCATCCAAAGTTAATTAACCAAGTTTTAATCGCGGCCTTTCGACGGCAATTCATGCATCATTTTTCTTTGTAAACTTATTCCATCTCCGAAAGTTCCGAAAAATATATTTGTCATGTAAACAGCTCCTTAGGAAGCTTTCGACTTGAACAGATTGACGAAAGAAGTACTCAGTATAGGAGCGTTTCTTTTGTAAATCTAGATTTGGATTTTTAGGTTTTGGATTCTTTGGATTCGTTAAACAAATGGAACGAATTGTGAGAATCGGAACTCGCCTGCTGTTTTCCCGCCATATATTTTTACAATAAGTTTTCTGTCCCATTATACATTGCGGGTCGGGTCAAGGTACATGCATGCTAGAAGGCCAGAAGCTCAAAAGGAACGTTGAATCCTAATCAAGATTCAGATTGAATCCGAAAAATCCATATGTTGAGGTGGATCATCAGATTCGAATCTATTTTAAGATTTTGTTAAATGAAACTGAAAATCGATAATCGGATTTGAAGATCCAAATCCGGATTACACTAAAGGAACGCACCCTATGCGTCCTTGGTAATTCAGCTCACATTTCTGCTGCGCCGAGTTTAGCACATCCGTGCTTAGCAACTTAAAACTCAACCAGTGGCGTAACACTCATTGGGTAGGGTTAGTTAAAAATTTAAGGGCCCCAGCCTGACAGTTAGGGGCCCCCAGCAGCCACGGCCTATCGCCCAGAAAATTAGAAAACGTAAAAGATGCAGGTTAGCTGAATCAATGAGAAAATGCAAAATTAATAATGCTAAATAATAAAGCCTCCATCGACAACGGTAGCTGTTTTTTCTCTATCTCAAATAAAACAAAAGTTATTCTTTATTAGTTCTTACATGTGTCGGAGACTGTTATTGTTATAGACAGTCGACACGGAATTTTCCAGAACATTCTATAAATATTCAATATAAATATATTATTATTTCAGTCAAACAATGACAACGGTCAACAGGGACCCCCACACCAAATATGCCTAAGGGCCCCCTCTTCCTCCGTTACGTACGCCACTGAGCGTAATTACAATTTTAGTTAAAATGTTGTAATTTTAATATATTTTCTGATGATATCGAATACTCACTGTAGCAATTTTAAACGCATTCTTCAGATCATTTTGAACTTTAGATAAATTTTCACTTGTTTTAGCAATTTCCATTTCGTTCTCCCCTTCCCCTCTCATCATTTTTTCCAGTTCTTCCAATTTCCGTTTTCGCTCTTTTTCCACTTCCGCATCAACGGTTTTCTGCGCGGATCTTCGCAATAATTCTGCGTGCATGATATCTTTTGCTTCTTCGACTTTCTGGCGAGTTTGTTCGGATTCCGTTTGATATTTCGACTGCAAAAGAATGTGGTTATTAGCGAGCTAAAGCAAGCGATGTTTTTTGTCAACACGGAGGTCGGATTGCCGAGGAGGGACTGGATTAAAAACTGTGTTTGTATCAGTTTGTGGTAATCTTCAACACCGATATGACAAAACGTAAGATTCTTAAAGTGCCTATGACACGAAATTTCACTCCAAATGTTTATGATTGCATTGTAAAGATCACTTAAGATGCAAGAGTGGGTTGACTACAAAATTTTTGTAGTTCGCTATAACTACAGCTACTGCAAAAATATGTAGTCAGCTACACTAAACTACTGCTACTTTTGAACAAAGGTAGTTCGCTACAGACTACAGCTACTGCAAAAATATGTAGTCAGCTACACTAAACTACTGCTACTTTTGAAGTGAACAAAGGTAGTTCGCTACAGACTACAGCTACTGCTTAAAAAATGTAGCGAACTATTTCGCTATTTCGCTGCTCTATATTTTTTAGTTTTACGGTATTTGGAGCATCCACTAGCTCAGGCTGTAATCAGTAACCTATAACAAATCGACTTACGGGTAGAAACAGTAAACAAAAAGGCTCAAAGCAACATTTTTATAAGCACTACAGTGTTCAGGAGTGCCACTTTTCATTGCGCTAAAATAATCTTTACTGTATAAAATAATCTTTTAAGCAAACCGTGTCTTATCATCATTCTATTCTATGAACGGTTGCTAACAATTTTAAAAAATAGCGAATAGCCATTCACTGTTTGAAAAGTAGTCGACTATTTGGCTACTTTTAGGCAAAATGTAGTTCGCTACAACTACAATACTGTTTTAAAAAAGTAGTCAAAAATTACTGGCTACTTGAAAATTGTAGTTCGCTACAGTAGCGAACTACAACTACTTCGCTACTACCCACCCTTGAACGTGTAGCTAATTAGACTGGAGGAATAGCCAAGGCCAAGGTTAACGACGCAATAATGAAACACAATTAGCCATTTCCCAAAGTCCTGGGTCTAGTCGCGAGAATCCCATGTTAAGGGACAAGAAATATGGCAGCACACATTTAAATTAAAAGTGTAATGTAAAAAGGAGATATTTCATTTTTGGCCATCTAAAAAGTTGATATTTGATATTAGATACTTCTACTCTTTCACATATTTGACGCCTGTCACCATATATTTTGTCCCTCCAAACGATCCCAGAATGCACTGTGATCTCTTTTGGGAAAAGGCTAATAATCCAAGGAGGCAATTGTTTCTCGAAATGCAATGTGCAATAAAACAGTTATTCATGAATTCAGTTTTTGTCTCGGTAGCTACTATCAATTACCGAGATAGCACATACATCAACCTTGATACTTCTGGATATCACAAAAACCTCATTCAATGACTTTTTATTAAAAATTCATACTTGTTGCATGTCCTCAGCATTGTGTTTGCGTGTACGTATGAATCTCTGTATGTTGCTACTTACATCGTGGAAAGCAAACAAATGCAACAATTCCTCATTGACTCCTTTCTTAGCCTCTGACGTCGTCCTAGAATCTTCGTCCTCACCCGAGGCCACCTGTTCCATTCTGCGCTTGCGCTCAGCTTCCAACTCCTCGCGCATGGCAAGTAAGGTCTCGCTGGGCGTCGCTCGAGCTAGGTTTGGTGTTACAACAACAAACTCCTTTTTCCCGCCATAAATACCTTCGCTTTTCAATCTTGCCACGTCCTAACATAAAAGACACTAAATTGTAAGGAACTGCTCAGTTTAATATGGATGTTGTACTATATAGAAATACTGCAAAACATTCCATAACAAATATGTATAATACTTTTTGTTTGTGGAAAACAAATATGTGTTCAGTCATAGGCGTACCGGGCGGGGGGGCGGGCGGGTTTAGCCCCCCCAGTTTTTTGGGCAGTCGGGCAATATTCGATCAACAGTCGGGCAATTTAGGTTTGCAATAAAAAAAAATGGGACAAATTCTGTTAATTTTGTCTAAAATTAAGTGAATTTTTTGACAAATTTTGTGATTTTTCGAAAATTTTTGTTATGCACCAAAAAATATGGGTTGTCCGGATAATTTTTTTGACCCCTAAAATGGTACACTGACCGAAATTTTTTTGGCGACGGGGGGGGTATCCAAAATAATTTTTCCGGAAAAATTTTTTTTGTATTAGTCAGGCAGAATCCCGAAAAGTCGGGCAATTTTCTTTCCGCCCCCCTAATTTTTTCCTTCCGGTACGCCCATGTGTTCAGTGAACTGTCTTCAAATTGGTTTTTACCATTGATTGTTATGACAATAAGCAGGGCCGCAGCAAAGAGGATAAAGCAGGGAGTATACTCGCTAATTAACATTTCTTTTCCCAAAATTGTTGGATAAAAAATTGTTGGATAAAAAATTTTTCCGGACATACCTTTTTTCACTTTAGTATTGATGTACCGTAATTTCTTAAATTTTTCGGCAATTTTCGTAAAGTTATCAAAATTTTTGCTACAACTATTACTTTTTAATCCGAGCCACTAAAATATTTTCGCTGACTATGACGGCCCTGAAAAGCTAGTTAAGTGTCGGCTTCACTTAAAAGAGGCGTTCGCTGAATCAAGGTAATGATATTCCGTTTTCTTGTTGACGTTCGTTTTCAAATGGTTGGAAACCTTGGTAACGTTTTTGAGAGGAATTTTATTTCCGATTCAAATTCGAGCTAAATTGCTTGGAAGCAGTTCTCAATTTCAATTTATATGAATAACGCACGACTTTCGAAGAGCAGTTCTTGCAAAACTAAACGGCAAACTGCTGCCCACGCACTGTTTGGGCAACGGGCGAAGCTGCCCACTCCCCGCTGCCATCGTGGCTCCAGAGTCCCTGGTTGAACAATTAGCCTTTCTCACGGTGACGAATACTATACGCCATTTTTGGGTGGCATCTAATTCTCGTTAACCAATGCAGACAATTAAAACGGCAATGTGAAAAGCAATTTTTCAAAACAAACTAACCATTCACAAGGCAAATTTACCATCATTCGTCCAAAAAATTATAAAAAGTCGCTGCTATGTGGACAGTGGACTTATCTCGCATTGACTTCGGCTGAAAAGCCACCGGCCAAAATTAAATAATGGCGTGAGAAAGGCTATTTGAACTGAACACCATCTTCTGCGCGATAGTACTGCTTCAGGGTACACGCAAAGAAAATACATGCATAATATTCAAAAGTCTTTACTTCGTATCACTCACTGACCTTGTGATGACCAAAATGTCGTTGCAAAGCATCTTGCATCGTTTTCAATTGCCCCTTTATTTCTTCCGTATCGATATCACTATCATCGTCATCTTCAACCCTCTTCATTATTGATTTTCCCTTTATTTCTATGTGCTTTATCCACTTATATATTTATTTCACTCTATGATAATCGTATGCGCACGCCAGAGCACGCTTATTGATGACGTCAGGAGATTAGGCTGGCGGCTGTTGTTTGGCACGCGACCGCAATCCGGCAATCTGCAATCAGTTTCGCGATCCGGCTTAGGGCCTGTCCCAGGCCTGTCCATGGGCGCAACTAAGCGGGAAACTCACGCCTGAGTGAGGTCCATATGCTCTTTGTTAACGCATATAAAATTCAACTTGTGTTCATATATGAGAAAGGAGCCAGCACGGCTAGGCAAGATCTCCCCTTGCGCCAGCCTAGTGCCAGGCTCTCTCTCTCTATTCGCTGCTTCGATACACTTAAATGTCTTAAAAGTTTTATGCCTGGGTGTGCTGTGCGGAACGCTTCAGCGAGAGAGCCTAGCAGATTTCGGTAAAATGGTCCCTGATTTCAAAAAAGTGGTCCCTGGCCTGGTTACCAAGCATACCTCATTTGTAAATGGAAAATGTTATGGAAATTTCCTTTGCATTTATGATTAAGTGATTAGTTTTGCTCTAATGCTGTCTGAACAATGAAATAGGCTACGTTTCGCTGCCATACGGTCAGAATGGAATAACAGGCTAAATATGACTCGTGTTTACTAAAATATATAGCCATATTAAATGCTATCTAGAAGCTTGAAAATTATGCCGAGTCTCCGACTAAAAATGTTTTGACAACACCGTCATGTCAGGCAAATATTTCCAATCTCCTCAGCAATTTAAACCTGTCAAGTAGAAAGCGTAGTTGTGTATACCAGTATGGTCTAGTGTTGATCACAACTTGCGAGTATATCGTAAATTTGTATATAAATTTTTTTAGTTGAGCACATTTTTAATACGGTTTGATTTGGTTATGTAGACATCGAACATGTACATGATGAACGAACATTGTCGTATTTATAATTAAAAGGTTACTTGTATATATAAATTTTCCGCCATATTAAAAATACTGAAATCTGCTAGGCGTTCTGAAGCATAGAGATTATAAATAACACTAGAGGAGGCATTGTAATCTTAATTCAGTAAAAAAAAGGGAACGCCGTATTGGGGGGCAAATTCGAGTCCCGGATGTGTATTCGTGTTCCCATTGGTGACGAGTTTCAAATCAGCCAATGAGAGCACGATTTTATATCCGGGACTTGAATTTGCCCCCCCATTAGCTGCGTTCCCAATTTTTAAACTCGATGCCTCCTCTAGTGTTATTTATAATCTCTATGTTCTGAAGCACCTTGAGCGGTGACGTCACACCTAGATCCCAGTCTCGTACTACATCCACTTTTTTCTCGCGCTTGCTTCAGAACGACTGGGACTAGGCTGCCCTTGCGCTAGAAGGGATTTCAGTCAAGTGGAAGAACATTTTCCACATGAAAGTTTTATCGCACCTGACCGGGATGGACATTTTTAGCCGAATTTGACTTATAATATAGCATTGAACGGCACAGTTGGAAAATAAAAACAAAAAGTAGACATTAATACACCTAAACAGATACTATTAAAGTCGTAATGCAAGGATTGTCAATGTGCAGTTTGTTTATTAACTACAACAAAAACATTTTCGAAGAACGCCATGTTTACATAATTTTGTCTGAACGAGATAAAAACAGTGATATGAACAAATGCAGAAATAATTCATCCACTCAGACGATCGTTTCGACAAACCCGGTTTATATGAACAGGTCAGTCGGATATAAATTCTTTCGAACGACCTCGCACACGGAAGGTTTTACCCTACAATGTAGCAGACGGTGTAAACCAAAAGTCTCCGAGAGAAAAAGTATGTTCTCTTCATTATTCAAAATATTGATATTTAATGATATATTCATTAATATCAATATTTTGGGCATGTTGACGAGCATTAAGGTGGCTTCCTACAGTTTTCTAAAATTTTAAGTATTTTAGGTAACCTTCGTTTTCAACCAAATTAATATTGAACAAACTTCAAGACAGGGCAATATAATCAATTTCCAGGAAAGTTCAGAAGTCTTCTGCTGTCGATATATGAACAAATAGGAACAATGTTAGTGTTGCCATGGCAACCATGACGTTTCATCTTTTGCACTTTTATTGTCTAATTTTACAATCAAACGGCAATATCTTTTTTTCCTTCGGTCAATTTTTCTTATTTTTTTTTAAGATTTATGGTTGAAAGAGGAATGACATATTAAAATTTGAAGGGATGTGTGAATAACGACTACAAAAAATCTGTCTTATAGAATTTTTTGAAATTTTGATATGTTTGGCGAATTGTCACGCTTTGCAAAGTTTAAAAAATTTTCACCGAAAAATAGTCCTAAATCCAGTTGAAGCTGTTGACGTGACAAAATATCGATTCGACATGATCACTATTCGTGCATGCGTATTGCATGCGTGTAAATCAAAGATAATGCGTGAGGAACACGAAACGCGTACGGTTTATAGTCGGCTTTTTCAGCAATTTTCACTTTGAGTTTTTGGTTTATATGTATCACACAGATATTTTTTACTTATTTGAAATGAAAATAAAAGAGATATATGTTCAAAATACGAAAAATTGAGAACACAATAACGCTGCACTGACTTAATCCAACGTTTCTTAAATTTAGCTTTGTTGTGAAAATCGGTGTGAAAACTTTTGAAAACATTCAAGTAGAGTTTGACTTTTCGTATAAAACAACTCGTAACTGTCTGCATTATAGTTTTATTGGATTCAGCAGATAAAAAAGTACATGTGAACTGAGTTGAATGACAGGATTTACGTAAGTTTCAGTGACAGTTCAGAAGCGTCTTGAAGACAGTATAAAATATCATTTCAGTCCGTGACACTGTTGTTGAACATTGTGATTTGTGAGCATTATGAAATACAGTACCGAACGTATTAAATATATAAAAAAAAAACACACTGAAGGTAGGTAAAAAACTAGCTAACAACATACGTACTGTTCGAATGTTGAAAAGTTTAGGATTATAATAAAAAACTGGCGTTTTCTTCGTAGATAAAAATACAAAAACAACTTCCCGCGGCTTGTTTCAAGATTTTTACCGGGCCACGAAGATTCCACGCGCGAGTCGCGAGGATGACGTCTGAGCTATATAAATGTTTTAAACTGGACTATAACTGTACGGAGCCACTATCTATGGGAGCCACCTTAAGACTTCACAATTCACGAAGATTTTGGACATTTCGCTCGATAGAATTTTCGCAAATTTAAGACGGTCTCTTTCACAGTAGTGAGCTCAAAATTGCTTCGAAAAAAATTAAGATATTCAAGCTTGCAAGACAGGCGCTTGCGGGTTGGAACAATATGGCGCAAAGGCTCGTGGAAATGCTGTGAACAAAATTTTAATGCATTCCCATCATTCAACGCGAGATGAGTGAATGGGAACGAGTCAGAAAAAGTCGCTTCGCGCGAAACAATTATCGTTTCGAGGAAAATAGGCTTTACTCCATCTGTTCAATATAGGCAAAATTGTGAACAAAAGTTGATCATGCCAACAATAGTTGAAAATTTCATTAATAACACAAAGATTTTTATGAAAAACTAACATAAATACCGGTAACTCATAATTGATGAACTTTCGTTGTTTTCAAACTCGCAACTAATTTTCTAACAATTAAACAACTTTATTTGACAACAATTTAACCCTAAACATAACTCTGTATAACCAATGGGTATTAATTTCCACAGAAGCTATTTATCGAGAAACAATCAAACATCCTTAGAAAAATGACTTATAAAGAATCAGTATATTGAAGAAATAGCACATGTTTCTAAGACTAAGTGAGCAAAGTCATCGAGCTACGATAATAATTAATTACTGAAGATACACTACATGTTCCTTGGTGACCAACGCCACTGAGCACCCTAACGTGTAGTTACGAAAAAACAGCACATGTTTCCATGTGTAAGCGAGCAAAGTCATCGAGCTACGATAATAATTAATTACTGAAGATACAGTACATGTTCCTTTGTGACTAAGGCGATTGAGCCACGACAATGTGATGTGAGATGAATTTCTTGGCTATCTTCACCAATATGTGCCAACCTAACATTATGGCGTCGTTTGCCTGTCTCCGGCAGATACGTTGACAAGAAGTAAACGCTTTCGACACGAGAAACGACAACTAACTCTTTCGTGAGTCCGTTGAATGTGATTGCGACGCAAGCTTCTGTTTCGCCACCGTGTAATTCAAATTCTCGAACAAATCGGCCATCTTTTTCAAAAACACGGACGTGGTAACCATATTGCTCTATTGCAACGACTTGAAGCTTGTCGGTTATGGTAGCTAATGTGCTTTTCCACATTTTAATTTCAACTAAAATACTGTCAAGCATGTTTAACTCCCTCGGTATTTTTTCTTGGATTTTCACCTCCCCCTGGATTTCCTCTTCACCTCGGATGTTCACCTCCTCCTGGATTTTCTCTTCACTTCGAATGGGCACCTCCACATGGATTTTCTCTTCATTCTGGATTTCCATCTCCCCCTGGATTTTCATTTCTTTCTTCAGGACTTCGTCAGGCATACACAAGGCAACTTCACAGTACTTTCGAGGTGGTGTCGGGGCCAGGACAACAGAACCATCGAGCAATAAAAAGTTCTTATAAATTCCGCTAATATCTCCTTGTGGATAAAAAACCGACACGTCATACATCAAATAGCCGGTAGGAATTAGACCACCCTTCACATTATCAGCAAAAACGAAGAGAAAATCCGAATCGTTTACAGCCAGAAACGAAACCAAAGTGAATTCCCGGAAAGTATAGAACACTTTAACCTCGTTTCCGGAAACTTTCAGTAACTCGCACACGTCTGGATTTGCCCGTTGTCGAAACAAGATTAAATCCCCGTCACTATTAACGGCTACTAGCTTGGGATCAATACCCATGAGCTGATGCTCCAGGGGTTTAAATAACACTAAATTTGGCACTTCAATTTCAGCCTGCTGTAGTTCTTTTAAAACCGTTTCGTCTGGAATCAATGGGTTGTACATCCAGGCGTCGCTTTCAATCATTGGCCAATCATATACATTCACTAGCTCTTTGGTAAAGCAGTTTAAGAAACGGAACAAAGTAAAATTGATCATGGATACAGATTGGAATAATTCATGTCGTTCGGCTTGATTAAATTTCGATAACATCCCTCCTTCCAGGTCATAGCGAAATATTTCCACAATTGGAGGCAAATCGTGCAAATCTTTCAGATATGATTTACAAATATTTGCGAGATCTGGTTTTTCTATACTCAACAGCAATGCGCTTTGAATTCGAAGTTTTGCAGCCATAATTCGATCTTGTAGGCTCAATGATTGATTATTGAACACCTCCGTTGCTTTAGTGTAGGCATCGTTGAAGCGCGTCATAGCGCGATCGAATTGTTTGGGCGAGCTCCTTTTTAATTTGGAGACTGCGTCAATGAGCTTCCGGGCCGAGTCCCCATCTAAATCTAGATCATCTGGATACGCCCAGGTCGTATCAGCTTCCTCGTTGTCAGATCTGCAATGCAAATATTTTGTAGATGTATGGAAAGTCCAACCATAAACAGTAAAATATATTTTTCTATCAGTGTCAATATTTGGGTTATTCCAAATGTAATATACTGTTGTAGGAAAAAACCCTCATATTGATCGACTTTTTCACTGTCAAAGTTTCCGGATTGCAAAATAGTTTTCCTTGGCTTTTGCTCCAAATACTCATCCAATGACATCATATCCGAAAACTTTTACAGTGAAAAAATAAAAAAATGGTAAAAATAAATAAGTTCTTGGTACGTTTGAATTCCTGATGAAAGTAAATATAATTGTTTTGGCTTTTTGCAAACACCAAGTTTATAAGACTTAGTTTGACTAGTGGTGCACCGATCCAAAATATCCTTGCAAGATGAAGTAGTTATATCCAGAGCGTTGCACCAGAATCGCAGGTAATCATGTTCGCATGGCTCTTCCCTCTTTGACCTCCATAAAAGGGAAGAGCCTGCATGGGTGAGCCCTGCCAAATTCTTAAACTTCCACAAGCACAATAGACTTTTCATATCATGACGTCAAACGCGGAAACGACAATTGCAAATGATGTTTTTATCTAATTTATTGGCTCCTCGTGTTTTTATCTAATTTATCGACATGCAGAACTTAATTAATTGATTTAGACGCCGTTCTGAAGTTCGCCGTCTAAACTGGGCCTTATTGGTGCTAAACTTTACTGAGTATGTAATATATAATATATACAAATTATTTAAAATATTCTCAGGGCCCTATTGAGTATCGCCTCGGCGAGTTAGACTTCCTGTTTAAATGTTATTAAAGACACTATATATATATATATATATTCACATGTGAAACACGAAGCTCGGCACGACTTCTAAAGCGGGCCAATCATTGTTGATCTTCTTACCTTTTCAGCCAACTCTTAAAGCGTACAACGTAGTTAAAAGCATCATCGAACACGGACGCCCCAACAGCCAACCTCTCGAATCGCTCTGGTTCCGAAGACATTACGCCTAGCTCGTCTTGACGGTCTAGATTCTCAAGCAAATCATTCAACAAAAACATCCCGTCTCGAATAAAGCTGGCGCTGGTTCGCAATGGGCTAAGAGCTATGCCATCAATTTTTGTTTCAATGCTTTCCATTTTGGTCGTAATTAAACTACGAAGTTGTAGCGAGTTCAAATCGCCATCTTTTAAATTCTCGCCCAACGATCTTCGAGCTTTATTCAGAAATATACCCAATGTCATTTTTAACGCCGATAACACAACAGCAGACATTTTGTAGATCAAATTTGAAACAGTAGTCCTATAGTCCCTTTGAATAAATTGGAGAAGAAGGCTACGTAAAACGAATATGTACCGCGAAGATAAATAGAATAGGCGTGAGCACCGAGGTCTCGGGTTTTAACTATCAATTATGGCCCGTAAAGTTAAGCTCATTTCAGCCATTATCTTGTCAAGTCATTTCACGGTTCAATGACTTGACAAGATAATACGATTGGATCATTGCTTCATTATGCCAAAATTCATTGTCCGTATAGTCAATTTAACATATCATAAGTACCGTTAAGGATTACAAGTACACAGTGGCGTAGGAAGCCGGGGAGGTGGTGGCGGGGCAGTTGTTGCCCCCCCCCCAAAAAAAATAATTGAATTTTAAAAAGTTGCAGCGAAATATTTGAATTCGAAACCAGAATTGCTTGAAACAGTGTATACAGCTATTTCAATTAAGGTTGTCCCCGAGTAGCCTGTGTACAGACGTTAAGGTCCATACACACTGGACGCGATTCGACAACGCGACGCGAATTTTCGATTTTCACTGACCAATAACTTTGATTCTAGTTTAAATTTTCAAAATATTTAGAAGCGCTATAACACTGTTGAGTTATTTGGTCTACATAACTTTCAAAATTTGCTCTCATTGGCTGTTTTATTAACTTTAAAAAACTGAAAATTCGCGTCGCGTTGCCGAATCGCGTTCGGTCGGTGTGGACCTTAAAGCCGGTTTTCCACTAGGCGGAATTTTGCGCGCGGAGCGGACTTTTTCTTTGTCTTGTGCAGGGCGCTTATATATCTAAGCGCCCTGATATATAAGCGCCCTGGTCTTGTGATTCTCGGGTGGAACTAATTAGAAAAGACAAAAAAAATTCCGCTCCGCGCGCAAAATTCCGCCTAGTGGAAAACCGGCTTTAAGGCCCACAAATAGCTGTATATTATTCAAATAGCTGTGATCGATACTACGAGAGAAAGAAGACACTCGACTGGTTCTCACAGATGTTGCATTATAAGGGCGCCAGTGATGCATAAGCGTACGAGACGGGAGGAAGGTAGGCCGCAGCCCCCCAGAAAAAATGAAGTTGGGCAAATTGTGAACGTAAGTTGGGGGAAAAGATGCGGAAATTGAAACCAAGAAAGATGTAAGATAACAGTCTAAAATGCAAGATATCTGCAATGAGGCCAAAAATTGTAAGCATTCTGTTAAATGTTTTGCCCCCTCCCGACAAGAATTTAATTTGGAAGTCTAGCAGGGAAAATATTTTTTGATTGGTCGGGCAAAATGCAATAAAGTCGAGAAAATTTCTTTCTGCCGCCTTTATTTTTTTCTTCCCGCAAGCCTATGCAGTCATGCGAAGCTTATCGTTCATACCCAACATTTGGTATGCTGATGAAATGCGCCAAAATTGATAAATTCAATCTGACTGTTTTATAAACCAACGCAATGCACAATGATATCTATTTTGAAAAATATGTATTTGTTCATAAGTCTACAGTTTGTTATATGATTCAATATACTGTATGATTAGTATAAATATATTAACTTTGCATGTTTGCACAGCGATAATACAGTGTATGTTTTGGTCTGGAAAATACCATGTCAGGGATACTTATTTTTGCAACTACAGTAAGGCATGTTCCAAACGTCGCACTTCTCATGTGCCGAACGCATTAAAAACAATAGGTATAAATCAGCTGAAATGCCTCATTATCTATTGTTTCTAATGCGTTCGGCACATGAGAAGCGGCATCAACTATTTCGCTGACCACAGAATGACATTTCGTCAAAACTTTTTTCTTCATGATTGGTTTAGAAACAAATTTGGAGTAGGGTTAGGTTAGGGTTAGTGTTTGGAGTAGGGTTAGTGTTAGTAAAACCGTTGCTTTGTTACGTTTTGTCACTCTGAGGCCAGCAAAGAATCTCTTCCATGAGAAGCGCGACGTTTGAAACAGGCCTAAGAAATATACGTGGTGTTTTAAACAAACCAAAACATACATTATAAATATATTGTACACTTTATGTACAACGCATGTGTTTTGCGGACAATATTCAATAACGTCAAGCGATAAACTTTAACAATGGACTATATGTTGCTATATACATAGCATAGAGTAGGGTGCGATAATTCGCGTACTTACGTACCAGAGGTACTTCTTTGTTTTCAGCGACGTCACCACGTATAGGTACGCGAAACTCTTACTATCTGAACTTTTTGTTGGTACCACATGACCTTTCCAACTTTTCCAAGCCCAAGGTATTCAACACCGTAATTTAGTTGGTATATATCATGTGTCTGAGAGGCATGAAACATGATTGCACTGATGGCACTAAGAAACGTTGGAGTGGATTGTTTGTATATGCAATTGTGCTTCTTTTTCTACCTCATAGTCTGAACATACTTTTCAGAAACCTGTACTTTATGAACCTTATTTTAAAGACTAAGTTGACACATTGAGTGCTGAGTTTGTGCAAGTACGCGGCAACAATCATTGGCGTACCAGTCAGGTACGATTAAAAATATTGAATTATCGCAGCCGCCAATATAGTGTAGATGGGTTTCACTAACCGTTGAACACAGTGTTACACATTCCATTCACATACAGTTGACAATTTGAGGCCCGTCCCACTTAATTTCACATTTTTTCATTTTCTTTTTTTGAAATTGTTCTGGCACACAAATTCAATGGACAACTTGCATGTTAGACTAAATTTTAATCTAAGTAAAGAGAAGGGAATCAAACACCACAGCTAAAAAGAACATAATGAAATTAGTAAAATTGCAAAATTTGGTTGCGAAATGTTGTAAAATACAGAAAATATAGTCTTGCAAAGTTTGCAAATATTGTATATCATATTACGTGCGGAAATTGTTACCATTTTCGGCTCAAAAATGGTAACAATTTCCGCACGTAATACAAACATATACAAAATATGCAAATTTCGCAAGGCTATATTTTCCGTATTTTACAACATTTTGTAACCAAATTTTGCAACTTTACTAATTTTAATCAGTTCTTTATGGGAATTTACTTCTTTTTGCCTAGATCAAAAATAGTCTAACATGCAAGTTGTCTATTCATTCAGCTCTATCCCACGCTGGAAAATATTTCATAATTTTACAAAAGCCTACATCGCTACAATATACGTCTAAATTACACCGTCCCTGTTTAATCTGATGACCTTACACTAACATAGAGAATTTCGAGATAATTGAAATATCGATTAAAATTCTGAAATTTTATAATTCAAATAACTCGTCGAGCGAACCACTGTCACTTTGTGAAGACGTCTGCGTTCTGGTTCGTGCCACACGGTTATTTTTTAATCTCACATGATTACTGTCCGTTTGTTTGTGTCTTTTCGATCTTTCTTTTTCATGGCTGGCTTCTAGGCTGCTGATCAATGCTGGCACATTGTCTCTTCTGAAAAACAACATTAAAACATGATCTGATATATATTAGTAGCTTATACAGCAAGGCCGGATTTTGGTTGAAATAGCCAGGTGATCTCGTGTTCGTATTTTAGCCAATCAGCGCTCAGAAAGGGTTGTCCGAATAGAAATCCATTTTGATGTATTCAGTCAATTATATCTTTCGTTATTCTTTATGAAACTAGTTGAAATTTTGTAATTATGTTTGGTTATGAGAACTATAGCTCTGACAAAAATTTGGAATCGAAATAAAGTATATTACAGGAGATATTCAGTTGTTTTAATCATAAAATGGATTTCTATTTGACAACTAGTGCCAGTACTTTTCCGCGAATCAAGATCACCTGGAGTGGGGGCGGTGGAAAAAAATTAGGGGAGGTGCAGCGGTCTAGCTAATGATCCCCATGGAAAGTTAGGGCTAGAACGGGCCAAAGTCATTGGTCAACGACGTGACGTATGCATGTAGTATACAAGTCATATGTATCAGTGTATTAATGACTTATGACTGTACAACTCATCCATTTTTGCCCTTCATTACAATTACTACAAAGTTTCTTTCAGAGATAAATAGCCATAACTGTTTCAATTTTACAGAAAAACTTGTGTGAAAAAAGTGTAGACTCTAAAATGTCAAAGTTTCACTTTGATCTATCATTGAAACTTTCCCAAGGGGACTTAGGGGAGGTGCATGATGTTTCAGGGGAGGTGCAAAAATTCTCAGCGGAGGTGCAAAACGATCTCAGGGGAGGTGCGCACCTCCCCTCAAAATCCGGCCATGTTACTGTATACAGTACATAACACATACATTATTCTCATTACTACCCAATTCCATTTATATTCTCATGCTCAGGATTCCCAGTTACATTTGGAGTAAAACCTGGTTTTTGAAAGAAGTAAGTGTGGGGGGCTATTGCAGTTCCAAAGATACCACATACCGAGGGGGTGGGGATCTCCCTGTGAAGATAGGGATGCAACTACCTGAAAAATACAAGGAGAACTTGGTCGTTTCGAGCAAAGGCCCTTTGCCAAACTAGGCTGTTGCAGTTTATCGATATACTCAGGGATGCCGGAACGATAATAAGGCAAAGGGGGGCGGATGCACACCAAGGGCACCTCTATAGAGCAAAAGTTCAAAATCTACCGGAAATTTTTTTTTTCATGGAAATTTTTTGGGCAACCTCCCCCCCAGTGTACCATTTTAGGGGTCAAAAATTTTTTCCCGACATACCAAAATTTTCCGTTAAGTTAAAAATTTTTTCTAAATTCCAAAAATTTTCTAAAACTTTTGTAAATTATAAACTCATTCTTTACCAAATTCACAATTATTTTTGTTAATTTACTTTCTCTGGGCCTATAAATTACCTGAATCTCATGATTTTCCCAGAAAAAGCATCACTGGAAATGTGATTTATCACGTAGTATTTTACAACTAAAAGGCACTTCTGCCCCCCCCAGTTCCGGCGTCCCTGGATATACTGATAATTATCGGGTTTTTTTTAAATACCCATTACTCAATATTGAAATTTTCGATATATCGGAATATCAATAATTTTCTGTATTATCGATAATTTTCGGTATTATCGACATCACGTTTGTATATTTAAACGTCATATCAAGCTTTTTCAAGCGCTGATTGGAGTTATTTCAGAAGGACAAAAACGCTCAATGTGTTAACTCTGTGGTAAAATCCGTAAATTAAGGTTAGAGCGAGGTACAAAAACTAACATCATTGGACATTGTTTATCTGGTGAGATAGGACGACCATTGTTTCAAATTTGCAGTTGAATAAAATGTTTTGAAACAATTTCCCAGTCAAAAATATCACACATGATTCATTCGGTGCAGTAATCAATGCTAATAGTAATAAGTAATATGCATTTTCAATTCTTAAAGCGGACATTTCACAGGCTACTGATCACTGACCTCGCACTTGATTGAAAATATCACGCACCCGATGAGTCAAAGCTGTTATATCGTGGCTGTTTGGCGTCATTTGAAAACGCAAATTTTGCATATAATAAAATTATAGGGCCTTCGCTCAAAGCGTTGAAGTTCTCCTTGTACAGTATCTGTCAGGTAGTTCGGTTAGAAATAACTGCAGACATAGTCTATTGTTGGCAGGCATAACAGGCACCATGTATTTGCTATTCTGGGCACTTGGCAAGTACACACCCTGAAATTTAGGAAAACCCCCAAAATCTTAAACCCTGCATCGTACCTTTGTTTCTTTGCCTTTTGAATGGATGCTTTCATCTCACTATCCAACTTTTTTAAAAACGAATTCAGTGAATCTTCTGAGTTACTTGACGCACCCTTGTTTGTCCTAGAGCCCTCAGATGCAATCCTTGAATGCCCTTCTATATCAATGCTAATATCACCATGGTTCACCTCATGTACCCCAGAGTCCACACTTTCTTCGCTATCACATTCCTGAGGTCTGTGCAGTTTGGTATCCCTAGATGTCCCTGGAATATCATTATTCAGAGTGCTCTCTCCATTGTCAAATGTTAGTTTGACTGGTATGTTTATAGTTTTAAAAATGTGAATATTGTCATTGGTCCAAAGCTTGTTAACTCTTCTGATCAGCTCAACCTGGAAACAGCACAAAAATAGTGTTAACCCATTAACAATTTTCCCTTGATGGGTAAAATCATCTGTTGTAAGGCTAAGTATTGTAAGATAAAGTAGGGTGCATTAAGTTACATTTAATAGTGGCTTGATGTTTTTTACAAAATATATGCTAAGATTGTCTTTATTTAGACACAAATCATTATAGACACTAGAGCTGTGTAGTTCTGAAAGATTTGGCTGGTCCGGTTATTTTCTTAGCACTGGAAGTCGGCACTGAGCATGCTCAAAAGAATTGGTCGTTTCGTTTTCCACATGTTGCTCAGGGTCTTAGCCAGCCTACCGTCCAGCCGTCTTTTGGACGGCCATTTTCAAATTTGGACGGCCTTCTAAGAAAGACGGCTTTTGGACGGTTCGCTATCATGGTGACGCCTTTTGGACGGCTAGGTAAAAGCTGTAGAGTACCTTACAATAAAATATAATGTTAAATTATGTATTTGCGTTTTGTTCGCTGAGTGAAACGGCTAGTAATATGTAATTTTGTAAACATGCGCCGCTAGTGACACCTACGCAAATTTTATTGACCATCCAGAAAATAGACTCGCCTAGTTTTCAACTATGGCAACTTGCTTGTGTGTAATGGTTGGAAATGCAGAAGCAGAAAGGGTGTTTAGCATGCAGAATCGCATAAAAACACAACTGCGAAACCAACTAACCATAGATCGGTTAGACAAGCTGCTGAGAATAAAATACCATGTCCATGGAAACATAAACATTGCTCACTTGCAAGCTGCAGCGGAAAGATTCCTAGCTTCCAAAAACCGCAGAATATAACTATATAAGATAATAAGTTGCTTTTTATTGTTGTTTGGTTGTGTTCGCTCACACTAGCTTATCAAAGCTACAGGTACTGTATTTATAGCATGAAAGTGACAACATAATATCAATCATAAAATTAATATATTGGCAGATTTACTTAAACTGTACTACTGTAGTCAGTGTAGTGAGTAGTGACATAGTCTGAATTAATTGAATATATATTATTAGTTTTTTGGGCGATTCTCAAGTGCGGTCACCTATTACTCCGAGCATTTGGGAATAATCACATTGCTGAATTACTGGTGCATGAAGTGGTGCCATATGGCAAAAATTGGGTGTCATAAACGAAATTTCAAATGTGGACACCCAAGTTGCAAATCCTGGCTAAGACCCTGGGCAGCACTCTCCCCCTAATGAGTAAAATCGCCTGGCGTTAGACAGAGTAAAATAATATGGTGTTAGACAGAGTAAAATAATAAAGTAGGGCACACTTAAAGGGTTAAACTGGCTTTGAACTAACTTTTAACTAAAAAAGTGTGTGACTGTTCAAATGACATTTAAACAAACTTATAAATGGCAGTTTAAGTTGTGTGCATTAATAGTTTGTTATACTTTATATAGTTGACACACCCTGATAAATATCTCGAATGTAAACTACAATGTCCAATACAGCGAGGTTCTCAAAAGAATTATTAAAAACACTTTATATAAGAAATTTTCGAAAACTTATGTTATCTCTTAAATACAGATAATATAATTTTAAAGCAAAAATATGCAAGGGAAACAAAAACTCTTGACTTTTTAATACACTGTTCTATAAACTTTCCAGTATTTTAATATAGGGGGGTCTCCAACATTGAGATCATCAAAGGGGGGAGGGCTACAAGATTTTTGTATATGACATAAGAATCTCCCACCCCACTCCATGCCGACTTGCTGTGTGTTGTCGGTTTTATTCATATCTGCAAAATTTTTAAGCCGGCCATTCTTAACTCGATAATTAATTCACTTAATGCAAGCTGGTATGCATGAAATTGCAGTGAATCTGTGAAATTCAATGTTATCGTTCATTATAAAGCTAGCGCATCAGTTGTGTTTTTATGTTTATTTATAATGGTCTTAATACATTATGTGGAGTTTTTATACTTCATCTGTTAAGAAAGGCGAGGGGTTGCTGCATGCATGTATTTTCTAGTAATTGTGTTGTTCCAAACTTTGCATATTGTCATATAGGAATGGTAAAGAAACCCAACCATGCGGCAATTGTAAACTGCTAGAGAGAATGTGCTAGAGCATACACATTTTCTATGGGCAACTGCTGCCGAATGACCTTTCGTGAAATTTGCATATGTTAAGTATAATTACGTATGTAGATACTTGTCAGCATTCTGGTATGTTCTCAGGGTGCGATAATTCAATATTTTTAGCCGTACCTGACTGGTACTCCGACAACTTTTGCCGCGTACCTGATCTGGTACAAACTTAAGAGTCAAGACGTACCTAAGACTACTTCCGAGTCGTGTGTTTTTATACCTACGTATAGTTTACTGGTCCAAAAGCAAAACATGTATGGGCAATTTTGTACAAATGAATCTTTAATTATGGTATTTGTACAACATAATATAACAGTTTTCAAAACGTCGACGTTGTGACTCGAATGCCATCGCTCATTTACAGTGGATTTACCGAGGGTGCTAACAGTCTGACCTCAGCTACATACAGTGTAGTTTTCTCATCGGACCTAAAAAAACCCTGTGGTTCCGGTTTCATATCGCGAAAAAATTAGGGTAGGTAGGTCGGAAATAAAAATTTTTTTAAAATATTTTTTTTCATGGTTTTGGCGTTTTTTTTTTGCTGGGCGATTTTCAGTAGTGTCCCGACATTACTAGAGATGCGTAGTTCCTACGAACGAATTTAGGCAATTTGGTTCAATAATTATTGTGACAACAGGCGCCATTTTGGCACACTGTACGAGCAGCCCGCAACCACCTGGAGAAAATAGCGTCGCACAGTCAATCGTGTTGAAAAAATGATAGGGTGGGCAGAAAAAAATAGGGTCGGTCGGGAAACCGGAACCACAGGTATTTTATTTTTAGGCCTTGGTATAGCATTGACAATTAAGCCCAGGTCACACCACACAACGATAATGATACGATAACTTGTAAACACACGATGATTGGTAAAAAAATTATGTTGGTGTCCACACTACAACAAAAACGATTAAATTATTGGCGTTTGACGATAACGATTTTAAAATCGCTCACCCGAGTGATTTTTTCCAGTCGGATGATGACGATAAATTTTTTGATCAAGCGCAAAGATAACAACCTTTTGGCTTTTTTCATCCCAAAATATGTCGGATGCGTGGATTTTACATGTACAGCTAAAGTTCTTCACGGTTTTGAATACTTTGGCAGGTTTGCTAGTTATTGCTAGAAGGAAAATATAAGTACGCGAATAGCAAATTCCCGCGTACCTACGTGGTACTTGCTTAAAAACAAGGAAGTACCGGACCATAAATTTGGCGTACCTCCGATACGTTGGTACGCGAATTATCACACCCTGATGTTCTATTACTGACCTTTTTCAACTATTGTATGCATTTTTATTGGTTAAACTACCATTATGATACAACATGTGAGAGTATCTCATGCTGGCTTTAATTTAACCAGAGGGGCATCGGTGAATGAAAAATCAATGCATCAATGAAAAATGGTTGCCTTAATTTGGACACCCACAATTCTTGGGATAAAGGAAAATTAATCTCCATGATTTTCCTAAAAAAATGTGTAATACCTGAAATTGGACGCCCTTTCAGAATCCTGCCTAAAAGCTTTTGAATCTCAAGACTTCATTTCCCTTGATGTTAATATTAACCCTTGATGGTACGTTGATTAGTACATACAATGCACCCTGGTTTGCTACGAATATTCACCAACAAAATTACTAAAGATCCTTTGGCCAGCTTTTCATCTAAGTCTTATTTCCAGTCTTTCGAGCACTGAAGCAGTAAACATGCAGACATTTGGCTGCCATGTCTTCCCTCAGTGTTATTTTGGCATTCTACAATTGATTTATAATTTTAATTGTTTAGGGAACTACAAAAATTTTGATGACGAAAATCCCATATTTTCAAGAAGTTGTGATAATGTCATTTGAATGTCCACATTGTGGAAACAAAAACAATGAAATTAAATCTGCCGGCCCTGTACAGTCACAAGGACATAGAATCGAACTAAAAGTTACAAAAAAGGTAAGAATTCTGTGAAATATCCACCTTTGCATGCAAATAATTACTAAAAAACTTTATTATAATGAGTAAAATTGCAAAGTTTGGTTGCGAAATGTTGTACAATGATGATGTAGCCCTGTGAAGTTCGCAAATTTTGTACATATTTGCATTATGCGCTGGAAAAATAACCATTTTAGACATTGTACATGCAACTCAGGTTTGTAATTTTTTTTTGGTGTTTTTTTAAATTAATATTTATTTTCAGGAAGCTTTCTCACAAAGTGATTTTCAGAAAGGTCCTGAACTAAATAAAGAAATTTACAAGGAAGACATGCATATACTACATAACTATGAAAAATATTAAAAAATTATACGGGGGAAAGTTAAAAGATTGCTAAAAAAGTTTCTCCTAACAGGCCTTAAAATATCTTTTACAGGGCCGTCTGACAAAATGTCCGATGACTTTGAGTTTGGGTCGGACATATGTCGGTATGATGATGTCCGATGACCTTCAGTTCAGTTTGGCTATGAAATAAGTCTGAAGTGAATGACGCAAATTAATATCAGCACAATGTAGTGAAGTGAACTGTTGTGAAGATAATATTAAATAAATTTGCTTGCCAATAATAGCAGTACGACTTGTCTTCGACAACTTAACCCCGTTTTCCACTTCACCATTTCGCTCGCCGCCCCGGGCTCGGTGACATTATTAAAAACATTTCCGGTTCATTTTTATACAATACTCCAATACTCCATTATAACATACGAGCCTCTAGTCCTAGACTAGGATACATTTTGATTTACATGCGTGGAGAAAGCGGCGGACAAAGCTACAGCTCGGTCGGACACCAATACACTCGGGTCGGACAAACAATAAATCTCAGTTTAACTTAGGTCGGCGCGGACAGAATGTCCGGTGGTTCCCTCTCTACGTCTGACAATTTGACGAATGAGTCGGACAATGTCCGTGACCGACCGATATTTTAAGGCCTGAGGGCCTAAATGTAGAAATTAAAATTAATACTACTAGAGAGTTTTATCTTTCTGTCCAAGTTGTTCCAGTCTGTTATGGCCTGATAAATAAAGCGAGTCTTTGCTTTCCCCAATTCCTTGACACTTTAGGTGGCCTTAAATTGTCCTTATATCGCGTATTGTAAGTTCAAATCCATGTGAGGTATGATTATTTAGACACTTAAAAACAAATAAGCATCTATGATACCAAGGCATGAGAAAGTCCGCCAGCATGGCAGCATATCTGCCAGGAAATTTTTTTAATCTCACAGGAAATTTTTAAGGAAAAGCAAGATATCAAGAATGAAGGCTCGAGAAATTTCAAAAATCAGCATTAAAGTGACAAACATCACAATTAGCATAAATACAACAATCATAACATAAAAATTGGTGTCATGTGTCAGTGCTACAACTGTCTGTTATCATGATTCATGATTATGATACATGTCGAAAACAAGGGCGTACTAGTATTATTGAATAGTGCATGAAAACCGATATAAATTCAGATTTACAATCTGAAAACAGAATTAAAATATTGTTTCATAGAATTCCTTCATGTTCCTAATTCTAGTAAACTCTTATATTTTTCTTAATATCGAGGTAGCATATGACTTATTAAGGTTGTATATTCGACGCTGTTATTGAATTACAACCAAAATTCATATTTATAAAAAAAATTGGCAGGAAATTTTAGGTCTGGGAAGCCTGCTGCCAGGAAGAAAAATATTTTATCAAGGCTTGTATGATACAAATTACATTGTTCAAGAGTACTGGTCCAGCCTAAAGTGTTTAACGCGTCTGTTGCCGATCAAAAAAGTCAGCTTTGTTCTGGAGTATCTGAAGATTGTTCAATAGCACTGTATTATTTTTGTCTCCCCATATAACATCCGCATAGTCAAAGATTGGCAGTACGGGACTGTTATAAAAAAGGTTCGTGCATTAAATGGTAGCAGGTGTTTAATCCTACGAAATAGACCTAGGCGTTGATTGACTTTAGCAGAAATGCAATATATATGTTCTGACCAGGTGAAGTTGGCTGTGATGATGACTCCTAAGTACTTGAAATTGCTGCATGGCGTTGGAGACTTCAGTATTGTTGACAGAGACAGCTTGTCATCTAAGATATATTACATAACTTCCTATCACTGCCTATAATCATTGATCGAGTTTTATTTAAATTCAGTGTCAGCTTATTCTCATTCAATCAAATCGCTAACTTAAGTAAAGCTTCATTAAAGATTTCTTTCAAGATCATTGACATCTGAGGCGTACACTGGGAAAAAAAGTGGCATCGATACTACGAAATTTACAATTGCACCACTAAATCCACATACTATTTCCATACTATATCCATACTATGGAAATATACAATTATTATGGATAACCAAAATCCATTTTATTTCCAATAAAGGTCCATACAATTTCCATTGTATGAACTTCTATGGATTTTCAAACTTTTTTCCATTTGTAGCAATATAAGACTGTGTCGTCGGCATACAAGGAAACATTGCCTTTTTTGGTAATACTGGGCAGATCGTTTATGTACACGAGAAAGAGAAGTGGGCCCAAAATGCTCCCTTGGGATACTCCAAAAGTGACAGGAAGAGCGTCCGACAATTCACTTCCACAAGACATTTGTTGCATCCGATTGCTCAGGTAGGACTCAAACCAACCTACGGTGCTAGATGACACACCCGTCGCTTTAAGTTTGTGGAGTAAGATGCTGTGGTCCACTGTCCACCTTCGACAAATCTAGAAATACAGCTCCACAAAGCCTTCCGCATTCCATGTTGCTCAGAGTTTCATCCGCAAAGTTGGTCAGGGCAGTGATGATTGAATACCTTTGTCGAAATCCAAACTGCTTGCTTGTGAGCAAGTTGTTAGTAATTAGGTGGCTATACAATTGCGAGTGAACGGTTCTCTCCTAAGATCTTACTTAGAGACTAGAGTAGGCAAGATCGAGATAGGACGATAGTTTGTACGATTGGAACGTTCACCTGATTTAAATGTAAGGGCCGTGACCGGTGCATTTCCAAATCTTTGGGAAATGGTTGCTCTTATTGATGGAAAGATTAAGCAATCTTGTGACAGACTTGCTGATTGAACAGAGTCTTGCGCTTATTTTGTCCAAACCGATAGCTTTGTTGGTCTGGAGTTGCGCAAAGACATAGGATTCTATACTTGTACTTCTTCTTCGAGCTCAAACATTGTTTCCGGGACATGAGTGGGACTTGCCGTAAACGTTTGTGAGACAGTTGTAAACTTTGCAGCTAAGGATTTTCCGACTGAGGCGAAGTAAGTGTTAAGGGCAGTGGCAATAGATTTGGAGTCTGGGTGTTTTACTCCATCAGTGACAATGTACTGCGGGGTAGAGCTTTTGTTATCGCGTAACGAAAGTTCGTTAACCGAACGTTAACCAAATCCTGCTGGAGTCACCTTTACTTTGTTCAATTAGCTCGCAGTAGTATTTGGACACAGTAGTATTTGGACCGATTTAACTTCTTTATTAACAAAGTTTCTCAATTTTTTATACATATTCCAATGATAGGTCTTGTTGGACTTTACAGCTTTGCGATGATGGTAGTCGCGATCTTGCTTTGCTTCGCTAATCTTACTGTTCATCCATGGTACTTGTGTGCCTTTTACACGACGACGTTTGACAGGTACATGGGCATCGGCGATGTCACTGGTAACTTTTTTAGTTTCACAATGAAAGAGCACAATATTTTGTCTCAAATCTGAGTGTTTTATATAACTGTTTTTAATGTAAGGTAGTAAGGTAATATTCTTGTTCAAACGCGTGCAAGATAAAGTGTTATATAATAACTACAGTAAAACACGCATTTGATTGTTCAATACCCGTGCAGGATCTGAGGATCAGACAATTTGTCTTCGGGCGGGCTCTTTAAAATGTCGGATAATGAAAACATTCTAACGTGTGAAGCTAACACTATAATAAACGAGAGACAAGTTAACAAAAACGTTAATAAAGTTATAATAAAGTTAACCGTTTAAATAACGTTTAAATAAAGTTAAAGTTTCAATAAAGCTAACCATTCTTTCACTGTAGTTATTTTATAAAACAATTACCAAATTGTTTTCCATGCAGGCTCGTGTTTTTTTACGCTTTCTGAAAGTCTCGCATCATCCCGCGTGCATGGATCAGGCTGTCCTTCCTAGAAAACCATTTGGTGTTCCTTTAAGCTATATTTATTTCACGCTGTATCTAACATGTGTTGCACTGAAATTTCTAATTATGTAATAAGAAAAGTTTCTACAATCTACAGTGAGTGCACTTCTCAAATTTTGTACTTTTTCCTTTTAAAGGATCTGGACAGACAAATCGTTAAAACAGAATCTGCATCAGTGAAACTTCCCGAGTTGGATTTCGAGATTCCAGCTTTCTCACAAAAAGGAGGTTTGTAAGTTACTCACTGGTTTCTTCCCACCATTATCACGCCTGCAAGTCTGGTGTTTATCTTTTAATGGCATTCCTGGGATTTCCCCCCAAATGTTTGCGTCCGTCCTATACTACACTTTGTGACCATATGGGGGATAGGAAAGCAAGGACAATCTTGTCTTGACACTAAACTATTCTAAAACCTCGTTTACTCTACTCTCAAATTTTAATCTGTACCAAATTTAACACTACTTATTTGCAAAGGCCGAACACTGGTAAATTTGGTACGAGTACCAGTTTTACGGTACCTGTGCCATACCAGAATATGCGAGTAGTGTAAACGGGGCTAACGAATTAATTTAATATTATTTCCAATTATAACAACAAAGGCTTTACAATTGACAGATCTGTAGGACAGGTAGCAACAGATATATGAATTCTATTATTTCGCAAGGTAGCTACTGTATCCAGTACCCTACAGAACTCTCGCTTTCCGATTTACTAAGCTTCGACTTCGATTGACTTGCAATATCTTTGACACTGATCTCATAGATCATAACCGTCCGTACCTTCAAAGAATAACGTGCTTTGTTTGCCTAGTCACCAGATGAAACTAGTTTCGGTGTTTGTATACTTGTAAATTTCTTCGCTTTGCCTTGAGGTGACGACCGATACCACTCAAGACAAAAAATATCGGATGTTACATGTTTTAATAATACCAAATCTCCTCTCCACTTAAGCCTCTTGCGATCGTAAATAAAATTGGAGAGTTATTCTGCTTTTCGTTTGTTGGATTGTTCAAGCAATTGGAAATACACCCTTTCGATAATTACGTCATTTGGCCTGGGAGCCTCGCTCTCGTGAATCGTGAGCCAATCACCTTGCGTAATTCACTAATGAGAGGCTCCAAGACCAAAAAGTATGTGTGACGTAATGGCCCATTTGCATTATAGACTAAATTTTGATCTAGACAAAAACTTCATCACAACTTGAAAGAGCATCACAAAATTAGTAATATTCCAAAGTTTCGTGGCGAAATGTTGTAAAATGTGGATAATATAGCCTTGCGAAGTTTGCCGTTTTTCAGTCATTTTGTATTACGCACGGGAAATTGACAGCCTAATCGGGTGTTGGGGCATCATTTTCCCGTTTGTAATACAAAATGACTGAAAATTGCAAATTTCGCAAGGCTATACTATCCGCATTTTACAACATTTCGTAACGAAACTTTGGAATATTACTAATTTTGTGATGCTCGTTCAAGCTGTGATGAAATTTTTGTCTAGACTTGTTTAGATCAAGATTTGGTCTACAGGGTGTATCAAAATAAACGCAATTCATCTTTTGTGCTTAATAATTTTCGAAATACTATTTCTAGTTAAACGCTTTTAGGCTTACTTCAAAGCCAGCTCTTTTCTCTTTCAAACAAACTATTATCCTTGTCTCCAATGCTAGTAATAATTGCACAGGAAAAGATTTAGTAAAACCTATCATTTTTAGTTGCTGTTTAATTATGCAAGTTTACTATGTTATTGTTTAGTCGGTTTAAATGTTAGAATTTTCTTCTTTAAACTTTAATGTTGTCGTCACTACATCTGGAAAACCACGTAAGAACAAATTAAAAGTATTTTAAAAGAGACCAGGTTGTTTGAAAATCCTAAACGAATTCTAAAAATCGTCAAAACATTCTGGTGTCTGAGCCAGAGTGTCATCGAATTGCGATGTAATGTAAACAAAAATTATAGCAAGTTGATGTCAGTCAGCTTAGATGGTCCAAGCCGAAATTATATCGCATTTGAAGTTTCAAACTGAGTTAAAAATAGTGGAAGAAAAGCCGTAATTATACTTATTGTTACAATCCATTTAATAAAATGCAACATTCTTTTGTTTTAATGAAAAAATCAGTTATTTTCATGAGAACGATTTGTTATTCCATCTCAATTTTTTTGATCTCCAATCGCAATAACGTAAAGTATTATTACCCGCGAACCAATGAGTCAAATTTAAGAAACAACCCACTGTTAGAAAGCGGAATGGCTACGCTTTAAAATGAATGTAAACTTTAACATTTTCGTCTATTATTTAGTTAGCAATTTACATTTCAGTCGAGGATTGCGCTTTTTTTGATACACCCTGTATAATGCAAATGGTCCATTATAGGGTGTATTAGACCACCATTTTGACGGTGATATTGAACACTTGGAATGACAGATCGATACCCCGTCGTGTTTGATTCCGGTTACTCTACAGTATGCATGTCTATGGCTTTGTAACAAGAAGTCAAGATCTTTGTACAAAACCAGTAATGTCCACACTCATGTTCAACTCTATTAATTTTCTTGTAATATTTCACTCTTACGTACCAGAACTTAGCACAATTGAAGGAATCCTGGACCGAGCTATTTCATCTTTAGAACAAGGCCAGCCACTACGCAAGGTAAGACAATTAATGTTTTGAAAATCAAGCCAAAATTAAGGTATAACAATACAAGTTGTTTGTGTGATGTTACTCTGAGTGTATATCCACACCGGGCAGGCTTGAAAAATATGCCTGTCCACGGTGGGATTCGAACCTACGACCTTTGGAATACTAGCCCAATGCTCTGCCCAACTGAGCTATGAGGTCAGGTCGGTTCGTGTATGCGATATTTCGGAACTGAGTCTAGTTCCTTTGATATCAGTGTAATCAAATAATCATGAAATTTGCTGTGTTGAATAAGATGTGAATAAGATGTTTGTGAATAAGATGTTTGTGTGATGTTACTCTGAGTGTATATATCCAACGAACCGACCTGACCGCGTAGCTCAGTTGGCAGAGCATTGGGCTAGTATTCCAAATGTCGTAGGTTCGAATCCTACCGTGGCGAGGCATATTTTTCAAGCCTGCCCGGTGTGGATATACACTCAGAGTAACATCACACAAACATCTTATTCACCTGAGTACATTACACCAATACAGCAAATTTCACAATACAAGTATTAAAAGTATAATTGCCCCAAGGACGGATTTTCTGGGGGTGGGGGGTTATTGCCCTAAACAAATTAAAGAATTCGCTAAATGTGTTCGGGACCCTCTTTAAGATATAATTTTGGTGATGCCAATGTAAGCTGTATATGAGAAAATATTGGCTCTCTGGCAGGAATCGAACCTGGGCCCTGCGATTTTTGTACAGCGCTCTAACCAATAATACATTTTTGAACATTTCAATTCAGGCTGTAGATCCTGAGCAGGCCGAGAAAGTTGGTCAATTCGTAGACAAACTAAAGACGTACCGAAGTGGCGATAATCCATTTACAATCGTTCTTGATGATATCTCTGGTAACAGCTTTGTGGAGAATCCTCACGCGCCAAATAATGATGAAGCTATGACAATTACAAAATACGATAGAACGAAGGAACAAAATCAAGCCTTGGGATTTGAAGAAAGTGATGGTAATTATTTCCAAAAAAAGTTCTCTGGCTTTAATTATTTATCTCCAAGCCTGTAACAGGTACAAATGGAATAATCTTGATGCAACCGTTACAAATGCATGGAATAGCCTGCGTTATGCGGCTTAAAAGGCAGCATTAGGAGTTGAATTGATTGGAACCATTAAAACCACCAGGGCCGGTTGAGTGATTTTTCAACCTTTGTAAAAATTCCAGTGAATTGAGCTGTAAACTGCGGATATGACGCCCAAAAGAGGTATGAAATGCTTTCACTTATAAATAGACTAGAAAATACATGCATGCAGAAACCCTCGCCTTGCTGACAAAACCATTGTATTTTCCCAACATGAAGTATCTGGAGCAGTTGTCATGGTAACACGATAATTTTTTAAGAATATTCTTACAACTCGCCTAAAAATATCACTTTTAATTACAAAATTATCAATTTCCCAACATATATATGTTAGGTATGTTATTATACGTAATATAAGCTTCAATATAAGGTAAAATTCAACCACAAACGCTTCGCAAAACGTTTTAAAGTGTTCTTTATAAAACTAAACAGCCTTTAATTAAATGGCTTTATCGATAAACTTTGAGTTTGCAATAAAATGATTTCAAATTCTCGCTTGCAAATAACTTTG